ATGGTGTGATATGCAAAATAGTGTTCCGGGGACCTACAGTACTTTTGTCCAGTTCAAGCGCCAACGACCACCCGACTCAACAAGGTAGCATTCTCGTGCTTTTCTGCTTGTATTATCAGACTCATGTATATTGGGATATTTTATTAGATGGCCCCCCACACCTCGGCAGCAGACAAAGCTGAAATTGTGACCATGGTCAAGCATGGCAAGAAGAACTACAGACAGGTGGCTGGCCAGGTTGGCCGAGACCTAACCACTGTGTCTCGTATATACAATCAATACCACAAAACACACGATTTCGAGCACAAAACCTCATGGAGTGGTCGGCCACGCAAATTGACCAAGCCCGATGTCAAATTTCTTATCCAACAGATCGATAAGGGTGATGTGATTGATGCCACCCAACTTCAGCACGATATTTTTCCCCATGTTTCACCGCAGGCCGGGCGCTTGTAGACCGGTCCGTAGATCAACGTATACACGAAAGTTTTCCGCCGAGTAAACCGAGCTCCCGGTCTACATTAGTAAGTGTGTGTATGCGTGACATATACCCCCCGTATACCCATTCATACCGACATTCCTTGTCTACGTGATGTATATCAATCGATAGCACTCACCTAATATACGGACATTGTATACATGGTGCATACCAGCATATACCCAAAGAAAACCACCATATCTACCCTGCGTCGACATGGCAAATACCCACCCGTACTCAAGTCTGGTCTATTTAATGTAGACTCACAAAGACCGACGCATACGCGATTGTCTTCGCGACATGTGAACCTCAAGTTCACAGTCCGACGGCCGGATGCAAGGCAAGTATATAAACCCCCACAGATGTGGATTTTCTCTTCGTCCTTCCCTCCATCCCTGAGGACCAAAATCGAGTATAGTGTACACATCACATACCCTACACTGTGAGTGAGACATCCAGGGTTCGTATCCATCAACGCTTTTTGTTTCACCTTTACGCCATCTGATTGATTTCATTGGCTCGCTAGAGAACTTTAGATCACTCTCATGGGGCGCGGGTCACAGTAAGTCTATCGCACTTGCTTGCGTGCACGAGCTCACTCGCTTCTTAACAGTTTTGCAAGACATTGGTTGACGATGTGGTTGTCCGGTAGTGAGGATGGGTCGGTTAGTTATAATTTATGTATGTTATGTATATAACACATCGGTTCTGAGTGGTTAATTGATTGCTTTCGCCGTCATTTTGCACATATGATTTTTGGGATGGCCATGCATCGCCCGAACAGGGATTTTTATACCAGGGTAAATGCGATTTTATATGTCGATACAAATATCATGTATGGAATATCTCATATGACCCGGAATCAAATAATTGCCCCATCCTGACCAGACACGTCCGTACCGGGACAATATATACGTCAACGTTTTGTTGTGCATACGCATGTCTACGTCGCAAACACATGCGTAGACTTGGGCAGACCTACACATAGAGCATACACCCTTTCATCGACCAAGGTGGGCGGCCCAAGAGTGCCCCTTGAGTTTTATAGAGAAGCAGTGGTAGTCGGGGGAGCCTCCAATTAGGGACATTGGCTATAAGTGCCACCCACGGACGCATATATGCATTCGTTCAAGCTTGTCCTTGTTCAGGTATTATGCGGTATGTACCCGAGGAAGGTTAATCCGGGAACCTCTGAATATTGTGTTGGTAAAGCGTCGACAATCTTCGGTTCGATTACAACGCTTCTCGCGGCGGCCCGCCGGAAACGAGATTCTTTATGCTCCAACGAACCTAGATCCAAATTAAAAGCATTCAGCCATTATACAAAACAAAGGGTACGACCTATGTATAACCACCGTGACTTTGAACACCTTTACGTTCTATGGATCCCGTGCCCCCCAGAGGTAAGCTGTTGGAAGTCCAGCTGAGAATTGATACTTACCGACTTTGGCTCTAGTGGGTCTACGTCCGAGGTCCGTTCCATCAAGGGCTGCGTCGGGCGGGGCTGCAGTTTCGGTGCTCCCTGTCGTAACGATAGTTTTCTGCTAGTGGCAACAGCACTGGGGTCGCGAGTTGTATCCTCGACGAGGTGACGCAAGCTCTAAAGAAATCGACGAAATCAATTACCTGAACCAGCGCCCTCCCGGCTACGCCTCGGAGCTTTCCCACCCAGCTCAAGTGTACGGGGATAGCTGCGCTGCCAATAGTCCGACTAGCACAACGGCGAACGAAAGACACCCGTAAAAATGGAAAGCCCATTGGAATCCGTTCCTGTACAAGCACTACAGGAACACACCCTAGGGCCTGCAGTTGGCCTTCCTTGCAGACTGATATGCCGAGTGTTTTCAATCGAGAGCTGCCACAGGAAAGAGTCAGACTACAATTTCTGGCGTCCAAACCCGCCCAACATTTGACACAATAGAACGAACAAGACTCACCTAAATACTCTTCTCAATATTGACATAGTATAATGGTCGGGTGATGGTCTTTCTAGTATTATACTTGAATTATTCGAAGCAATCCCACTTATAAAATCCAATGCTATTCGCGCATGGGGCTGGACAAGCTGGGGGACGGCATGGCACACTTGAAATCGGTAATTCTCACGACGTTACTCCGATTCGACTGGGTATCAGCGTCATTCAATAATAATTCATTCAATAGCCTCAGCAATAGGCGGCAATAACTACTACACAATCTAGTCAGTAAGCTTCCAACGAGGAACAGAATAGGGCCGTACTATGCTCTCTCATCGCTTGGAGCCTCTTTCCGCCGCTTTCTTCTCAGCTTCGGCAGTTTTCTCTGTAGACGGTATTAGAAATGCCAGCAAATGATTGGATGAATGCATACCTTCAGCTTCCTGTTTTCGCTTTGCGGCCGCAGCCTCTCGCTCAGCACGAATCTTTGCAAGCCGGGCCATGTCACTCTTGGCCTTATCGGTCTTTCCTTGCATATGAAGCTGTGATAATAGTTGATAAGTGGCATAATTTCGGGACTGCGTTTACTAACCTTCCAGTACCTATCCTCGGCCTCTTTCTTCTCTTTAGCCTCACTAAACAAGGCCAAGTCAAGTCAGGAAATCTGTTGGCAGTAATTCTACTAACCGTTCACGACGACTCAGCTCGCGCGGAGCTCCCATATCCGAAATGGAGAGGTTTTTCATTGGAACGTGATTGGGGTTAACCAGGTCCGAGTCGTCTTCGCTGTCTTCCCCACTACCCTCCTTGATCGTGCCGATTCCCTTGCCCTTTTGCTTGGAACCTTGCTGTTTCTTGAGTGCCTTGCGTTCAGCGCGGGTCATTTCGGGCTGTGTGGGCTCGCTGGGTCCTGAGTCTTCTTCCTCTTCTTCCTCCTCTTCTTCCTCCTCTTTCTCCTCCTCCTCTTCATCATCGTCTTCGCCCTCTTCCTCTTGCCTTTTACGGCGGCTTGCACTGGGGTAGCCTTGAGCGCACTGTAATCTCGTGGCGGGGTCGACTCACCGACGATCAGTTCCGCTGGCAATGCCATCACTGTCTAGCACCATGTCTCGAGAAAAAGAGCGTCCTCCTCCACGCTTTTGCTTGAATTTGCCAGTACCGCGTACCATATCGTCAGGTTATTCACTTGTCGACTTGTGATGGTTCGAGGAGAAATTGAAGCTAGTGTGACTCCAAGTGATCGATAACCAATCAGAAACTACCAGTTGATATGCAATTGATCGATCAGGGTCCTGTTGCCAATTCGTCCCATATCTCCTCGTCACTACGGATTTTCAGCGTACCGACTCGTTCCCGGTCGTTTTCGACGCGTTTACAACAAAATAATCAAGCAAAAACGAGTGCCCCCAGGCTGGATTGAACAACCGACCTCATCATGTTGATTACGTAAGCAATTTTTACGAGTGATGCGCTCTACCACTGAGCTATAAGGGCTTGTTACCTAGCTTGGGACAACCAATATAAGCTAACCCACCTAATCCGGGCACATTTATCCTATACAATACATCCGCGCCCCCGACCTACGATTATGCCCTTCCAATTATGGTTGAATCTCGTAATCTCCCTGTAATAGCTCTGTGGTCTTCATCGTCGCTTCGGCGACTTCCGGCGCCTCCAGCTCCCGTCTTCGCACCCCGCGAATACATTATAAACTAACAAATTTCACTGGTTTATGTTAGTTTTAAAGTACGAACTGGTCCTTGACCCCAAGTCCAGAATTGTACAACTCTGACAGAGCGCGACTCTGCGCTGTTACTCGCAAAAAGTCCGTAAAGCGGGGGCGTTGCTTGGATAAACATGCCAAAAATGGATACGAGTATTGTTACATTGGATGCGCAATCAATAAATCCAAGATTCAGACTCAAAGGAGCAAGGAAAATGGAGGGAATGAGCCCAAAAGAACACGGTATGAATGTGTTTTTGTGAACACGGTTCTATACCAAGATCACTACGACCGGTGCTTGAAAGAAATCCAAGACCAAGTCATGGTGGAAGCAAGACGAGGCTCGTCATACAAGCACCCTATTACCTTCCTGGACGAGGGCCCAGGAACGTTCTCCATGGTCTCCGGCTCGCTTGTAGCAACGAGTTCCGAACAAACCTAGACTGAAATCAGACACTGAATTTACCACGAGAATTATAGTCTTACCTGCAGGTCAGTTGCCTCTATTGGCGCCGGTGGGTAAGAGCTCCTTCCAGAGGCTGCGAGCTTTGCAGCCCGAGACCGAATTGGTGTTGCGTCCGCACGAATATATCCAAGACCCTCCACGAATCTCCGTTCGGCTGAAATTCGAGCGGCGCCGGATTTTGGCTTCGAGAAACGACCTTTCTTTAGCGTGTGTGTGTTTCGAGGACCGTTATGCTCGACCTTGGGCTTGGGCATGATAATCTATCAAGAGGATGAGAAGCTAGAAGTCAAAGAAAGAGCGGAAGGGACACACCTGAGACAGCAGTGCCATGCGCTTAGCAAAGACAGAGCGCGGCTTGGACACGTCGCTAGAGACTGGGACAGAGGACATGCTGAATAAAACGAGGAGGCGGTAGCGTAGGGAGACGATAGCAGAAGAGCGCTGAGGTTAGTGGTTAACAGCAGGTCGCTTTATACCTGATGCTGTCCTGGGAGGAGAACCGGGCAATACCACCTTCTATTGTCCGAGTTAGTAGGCATGCATGAAAGAGCGCTCAAATCCAGTGTTTGATGGGGTTTGACCAGAAGCATCCTTCGATCAGCCTTGGGCCGCATTAGCCAGGACTTGGACCATGCCTAGGAATATATCCAAAAATGGCAAGAGGCAGGTGTTTGTTTACTATGAGAGGGTGTATTTACCCGCCATGACCATCACTGCTGCCAAATAATCTATTTTTATGGCTACACCGTCCCAAAGAAGCTTGATGATCGTCTGGTGTCCACTAGACCACTGAGTGATGAAACCACGTGTGAGAACGTGGTGAGACAACAATAAGATGCCAAGGCTAAAAACACCGGTCTGTCCGCTATCCCTAACTACAAACCTGCGCATACATCCTGCATGAAACGTTTGTTAGCGCTGTCGATAAAAAAGGAATCAACCAGGTCCAAACGCAGTTGTGTACGGCACGTTCAGGAGAACTTGAAGATCAGTTAAATTTGGAGAATTAGAGGCGGTCCAACG